CCCAATAGCACTTACTCAAGACGCTGTTGGCGGGGATGGGGCCAGCACCCCGCGAGCCATAGGCCCACTCAGGCTGGATTGTGAGCTTCCTCTTTTCGCCGGGGCACATGTCTAGCAGGCCCTGGTCCCATCCCTTGATGACTTGACCGGTACCGACGGCGAAGGACAAGGGCTGGCCGCGGTTGTATGAGGCGTCGAATTCGCTGCCGTCGCTTTCGAGGGTGCCGCGGTAGTGGACGTTGACCTTGTCGCCGGCCTTGGTCTTGCGCACGCAGTTGGCTTCGGTGAGGACTTCGGTCTTGAGATGCTGTACAAGGCGTTAGCACGCCATGCATGCCGTATAGCTTCGCGGGGTGTTACTTGCCTCGTTGTTGACAATCTCGCCAGCGAGAGCGGCCGTAGCCAAGGCGAGGATGAGGGTGAGCTTCATGCTGACGTCTATGTATAGTGAATTTGCTTTTCGGACACTCCACGGATGTCTATGAAGCAACCTTGGAAGGCGACGTTGCAATGGCGGCGGGTGGAGTGTCTATGTGGGGATACATGTGGCGCCAAGCGGTAATGTGGCCCAAACCATATGCAGGGACCTTGGGGACGTCATTGGATGTCGCTAGCGTCATTTTACAGCATCGAAAAGACCACGGACCCAATACCTACTTCTCTGTCTTTCGCGCTCAAGCCCGAGGGGTCTTTTCGCGACGGACCTTTGGTTGTGTACATTGGAGGGGGGGGAGATATTCGGTAACGGTGGTTGACCCAATACCTACTATCTCATCGCTCGGGAGCCGCGGTACTATGACAACGACTGTTGTGAGTAATAATATCAATATGTCTGATGAGTAATAGGGGACTGGTTTCACTCTTAAAGAACCAGGTGTTACTAATAACCATAAAACCATCAGTGGTAACCTCAGAACAGCGACGCCACCCCTCTTCCAAATGATAAGAACACGAATTGAAGAAATCATGACCACACATCCTCCCCATCGAAACCAACTCCCTCTTCCCCAAGACTCTTTACCAAGAACAGAAGGCACGATCAATAGTAAACCCCTTTTTGCAACCCAATCATACCCTCCTCCCTCCCATCCATCGCCACACTCTTGATACCAAAATCCTCGACTGCCAAATCCGCAGCATCCAACTCCGCGAGAACTCCAGCCTCTTCCACCTCTTTCCTGCTTCCGCCAGAGCTGCCCTGCTCAATACACTTAAAGCTTCCGAACTTGGGCATGCCGATTGCGATACCGGGGAACGTCAGCTTCTGAAGAATGTCGCCTGTACACGAAAAGTTCTGGTAGAGGGCGCACGTAGAGCCTTGATCAGGTCCGAGTGATGCGATACCGCCAGGGCTGCCTTGGATGTGGCATTCCGTGTTGGGTTGCGTCCAGCTGCATTCGCCGGCGAAGTTGGATTTGGTGCAGGTGTAGTAGGCACCAGGAAGACCGCGCCGGGAAAGAAGATGTGTTGGTAAGGCTGAGATGGTGGTTGTAGTGGTGGCAATGGTGAGTAAGAGGGCTATGAGCGCGATAGCTGTATACATTGCCGGGTTCGTTGGACCGGACGACGATTAGGAATTAGCTTTGGGCTATGCCTGTGTGTATGGCGTAGTGCGCGTATGTGTGTAATTTGTCTTTGGGGAACACTTGACTCGGTGTTTCAAATGTTCTTATGACAGCCGTGGGGTGTATTTGTGACTGAGCCTTATCGTCTTGTGAGCCACCGAGCCTCATGATTGTCTGCGCGCGTCGTACGGACGTAGATTATACGGTCACGGGTTTGCGTACCTATTGCACAAACGGACAGGTTGGTGCATCAAGCACAAAGTCTGGAGTTTGTCTCTTTGTCACGGACAGCAAACATCTACAAGGAGATGTAGAGATGTATTGGCGTGACTCCATGGCGATGACAACGCCACGAAAGCTTTCAATAGGCCATACGAAGAAACCAAAAGACGTATAGAGAGGGGAAGAAGAATTGCAAGAGTGCCAAAATATCCAAAGACTAGAGATGTGAGAAGGTGATATGTGCTACAAGGTGCATCGGATGCGCTCCGCAACGATGGCGCGACATGGGTGGGTTGCTGCTTTGAAACGTCCTTCAGCGGGGCTGATGATGAGATGCAACCAAAAGGGTCGCAGTACTCGCAAGCCCATGCCACGAATCGTCTTACAGCCGCGAACTCGCTGGGGGACGCGGGTGGCATGCATCTGGGCTGTGTCATCAACGTGTCGCCGCCAAGCTGTCGCCGGTGCCGCCAATACGCACTTTTGGCTTGACAGGTATGACTGGGTTTGGTTGGTTATGATCGTCAGGTACGAAGCTGCGAGACGTCTGCAGGATGCCGCTATAGTGGACAGCGATCTTACACGTCGCATGGGTCGTGCATTTACAAAAGTGCTGCTCTTCGCGTCGGGTTGTAAAGTTTGTGTCGTTTTGGTCGTACCTAGGTACCTAGGTAGGCAGGTGTGCATGATAGAGGCGCGACGGTGACGCGCCGGCAATAGGTATGCACATGCCATGCCATGCCACGCCAACATCGAACTCACATGCCATGCTTTGGACTTGAAAAGCAAAGAAAAGGGTCCATTACAATCTCACTCCTCCTATCTTGCGCAGGGGCTGTTGGGTGCAGAAGATAGATTGCGCGGTCAAAGGATAGGTAAGTCGGCCGCAATTTGCTTGCTTATGCCAGCGTCATCTTACACTCGGCAATAGAAGAACGTTATCTTCACATGAGTCTAACGAGCCATCACAGTAAACTTAATACAGGTGTACATCAAAGGGCGAAGGCATCCTCGGACCCTACAGGTCAGTGGCTATCGCAAGCCCGACATGCAACCCACCACCATTTCCACCCTTCCACATCTACCAAACGGCCCGACACGATCCGAGGACTCAAATCCACTACCCCCAAAAATAAACCTACACAATGCTTCCGCTTCATGATGCGCAAAACGGCATGCGCCGCGTTCCACTATTCTTTCGTTGCGTCTTCCGAAACCGCGAAACCCCAGGCGTTTTGCAAATAGGGAACCACCCCAACTGTGGGGGTACCTAGCCACGCTAACACGTTAGTGAGGTTGATCAAACACACTCGGCACAGTACAGATGTGGTTTCGTGGATGGTATGCTGCAGGCATTTACTATGTCATGGGGATTGCTGAGCGTAAGGATAGTATAGCTGGGACGTAGTCGCTATCTTCTACGTCGTGTTGTACGTTACCACACAGCAGCTCGGGGGTGTACACGAGTCTCTGCGGTAAGTCTTGATTATGAGAATCGCTGTGAGTACCTCCAGGTTATGAGATCAGCCTCATTGATGTATCGCACGACGGTCACAATATGCTCCAGGGTATGTTGGAATGCTCATCTGTATCTCATTCAAAGCCACTGTCACCAGCAACTAGATATAACCGCTACTCTCCAAACCTGCAAGCAGATCTGTAGACGCCACGTCACGCCACATGATTTAACCCCGTCCTTACGATAGTCTAGCCCTCTTGCGAGCCCAACCTGCCGGATTCGAGGACGAGGACATCTGCTGCTGCTCGGGAAAACCTCGGCCGCCAGCAGTGAAAACGAACGCCGGTCGTACTAAAGCTGGAGCTCGAGGAGTAGGCGGCTTCGCCATGTGTTGTGAGATGTAAGCCTCATACATCTCCTTTTGCTTCATCAACTCCTTTTGATGGCCTTGTTTCATCTGGAGCACCTGGGCTCCGCATCGCTTCCCGAGCGCGTTCAACTTCTTTCGACACTTCTCTTCCAGGGCTTGGTCGTAATCTAGATAGTCTTGGATGTCCTGGATTCGCTTGAGCTCGGCAGCCTCGGTCGCTGAGAGAACCTTGGCTACGGTGTTCTGCCAACTGTTCATGATGAATGTCAGCTCAGGAGCACGTCTGGCCAACTCGTTGGTATCGAGCTCTTGTACGTTCTTCGCAGCTGATCTGATGTGGTTGAGGAGAGCATGGAGTGGAGTGTGTGGCGGAGTCGAACCAGACGTAGAGCCGCTGCCGGTAGATCCGTATGAGCTAGACCTAGCAGTAGACTTCGCTGGCTCAGAAGCTGCCAATAGCGACAAGATCTTCGTTTCGGCGATGTTGGAGTCGTCATGTACCGAGGGGAAGGGGCGCACAACGTTACGATCTTCAATTGTCTTGCCCAGAGAGCGTGCAATAGCTTCAGCAATTTCCTCCTCGTCTTCGTCGCTGGCGTTGTCATTTCCCGCGGCACGTGGAGATTCCGACTGTTCCGCTCTCTTTCCAGCTTTCAAAGAAGAGATGGTGTGTGACCCCGTTTTGCTCTGCCTTGCGACGTTTTGTGAACAGTAGTCGATCCTGGTCGCTCGTCGCGCCGCGTTCTCGTAGAAGTCATTACCGCCGTGGGCGCTGAGAACGATCCCTTTGAGGGTCTCTTCACGCTTCGCTTCGTCTTTGACTATGTTGCTGGTCGCATCTGCATTGCGTGAAATAGCGGAACGGCGGCTGTACGTTATAGGCGGTCTAGGGGCACTAGAGGGACCGGGAGTGAGCTGTGAAGGCATCGTGTTAGACGATGGTGCAACGTCTGCGTTAAGCGGAAAGAGAGTCATCGTGACGCAGGTGAAATAGAATATATAGGTAGACCGTGAAAGACATGCACAAGTTGGGGTCCGACGTGAGAAATAGGGTTTTGACGTAGTCCCGCGGGCGAGCAGGGGGGGAAGTGATTTCCACAATAGAAACAACGGGTGACAGATACGAATGGGGAAAAGGTCAGACTACAGTAGCCCAAGGGTGCGTGACCAGGAGTAAAAAAGTGAAGGTGAAGGGAAAGACGGTGACTACAGGCGATCAATGACGTTCGTCTTCGCCAGCTCAATTCCGTGTGCCTCTAGTGAGGCTGCTCTGCTGCCTATTATACATTCGCAAGTCTTGAAAGTAGTTGCTGCACACCACTCATGTACAATGCTAGACCGATCCAGGTTCTCGCCGCTGACGACCTGCCCACTGGTCAAGACGTCAAATTTTCTCAGTTTGAGCAGCGCGGGGGTATTGGTATTTTCTTGGGAGGATCATGGGTCTTCGGTGAGCGCTGGCGAAAGCTTGTGTAGCGATGGGGGAGCTGTCCGTCCGGATGGTGGTGCCAATGGCCATGAAGAAGCTGCAGGAAATGTCAGAACATAACAGCGTGAGCAGCTGGAGTAAACTATGCATACCCAAAGGTCGCAGCAGATCCCATCATATATTGGCCTAGTGTGCGCAGCATTCCGTTGGGTCCAGGGCCGAAGCGGACGATGTTGGTGAAGCCTACAAGAGTCAGCAAAGAGCATGCAAAGGCGTGAGACGAGGCGAACCGAAGATGAAGCCAATGATCAGGCCGACGGCTGTCAGGAGGTCAGCGCATGTATTTCCTGGTCTGTATGTTCACCGTACATCCACCCATCATGCCACCCATCTTCACTATGCGCTGTTAGCTATGGCCAGGCACAGGCAAACTCAGAGCCCTACGCTTGTCTAATGTTGAAGGGCCATGCGCCCCTTGAGGCATTGAGCCGACTGGTACTGGCATCTTGTAGCTCTGCAGCGTCGGAAGGTGAGAGAAGGCAGGAGGGGAGTTTGAGTGTCCCACTTGAAGCTGCAGTCTCGCCCGCCGCGGCTCATCAACGCCAAGACGAAACCACCGAAATCCGGGGAAAACGCAGCCATGGATGCACGAGGAAGCTACTGCTGGGCATGTCGACACGACGTCAGCAGATGCAGTGGCACGCAAGAGGTACAGCGCGTTCAGCCCCTACATGAGGCTTTGGTGGTTTCCACAGACTCCCTTGACCTGACACGACGGCGCTGCGCACGTGACCTCTGCAACGGCTGCCCAGGTGGCCCCTTCAGTCCAGGGCTGGCGGGAATGAGGCGAAATAGTTTCAACCACGGCTTGACATCTCCACCGCGCGCGTGTTGGACGTAGCCGCAGCATCTGCCTCGTTGCGTCGTGATTCTGCTCGTGCTGCCCCCTACTCGACGTCGCCATTGCGCCTGAGCCGTCGTGTCGCCCAGCTGGCCAGTAAGCGTTGCAGCGTCCCCAAGGCCCGAACAGGACCTCCTGCTCGTCGAAACACGCTCCCCCATCTATACTGCCCACCCCAACCATCACGCAGCCCGTCCCGTGGCCTCCGCTGCTGCCCACCCATCCCAGAGACGCTGCTGCTGCATCCTCCGCCTGTCTGCAGCGCCTTGCATCGCTGCGACGTCGCACGGGCTCTCCCCGGCCAGCACACGAACGACAGAAGACGACAACGACGACGACGGCGGCAAACCCCCAAGCCCACCCGCGACGCCCATCCCGCACACCGGCATCGAGCGCGACGCATGCGTGCATAGCCGACGTCGCGAGGCCTCTTTGTTGTTGTCGCTTGCTCTCGGCGTCGTCACGCTGGTGTCGCGCCGCTAAATTCGGACAAGACGGGAATCGTGCAGGAGAGGAAAAGTGACGCCGGACCCCAAACACGCCCACCTCCTTCCCTCCGCCGCACACGACCTCGCCAATGACGGCAGTTGCGCCCCCCGTCAACTACCAGAACATCAATCGGCAGGCATGGAGCGCTGAGGGCGTGTCCAACGGTGGTGGCATGTTCATGCCTCGGAAGAGCGCCCAGCGGTCCAACTCGTCGTCGAGCCTCTCTTCACAGGCCTCGGGCACCTCGACTCTCTCTGCCTCGTCCTCTGCCTCGCAGCCAAACGGCACCCCCCAGCAGCCCGCCGGCACCGACTGGGCGGCCACCCGCAAAGCAAAAGCCCCCAAGGGACTATGGCCCGCGACCAAGACTGAGCCCATCGCCGGAATCACTGCCGCACGCCCCCAACCCATCGCCTCTGCCGGCCCCGCCTCATCAGCCGCGTCGGCCATGAGTGCCCTGCAAGCCCCTTCCGCCATGGTTCCTTCACAGCACAATGGCCAGGTCCCGGCCCAGCAACAGCCCAACGGCGCCCAACGCGCATCGCCCCAGGAGAGCACCGCCGTACTGCACCTGGTCCCCATGAACGGCACCTTTGAGCGCAAGACCATCACCGTCCCCTTCTTCCCCGACGTCCTCCGCATTGGCCGCCAGACCAACAACAAGACAATTCCCACGCCACTCAATGGATACTTCGACTCCAAAGTCCTCTCGAGACAACACGCCGAGGTATGGGCCGACCGCCAGGGCAAGATCTGGATCCGAGACGTCAAGTCGTCCAACGGCACCTTTGTCAACGGCTCCCGTCTGTCGCAGGAGAACAGAGACTCTGACCCCCACGAGCTACGCGAGCAGGACATGCTGGAACTCGGCATCGACATTGTCAGCGAAGACCAGAAGACCATCGTTCACCACAAAGTCGCCGCGCGCGTTGAACATGCGGGCATTTATGCACGATCCAGTAGCGACATGATCGACCTCAACTTCGGCGAGCTCGAAGGACCCCAGCTCTCTAACATGATGAGCCCCAACGGCCAACAGCAAATGGCGAATATGCGTGGTCGCACGCCCAGCCAAGGCTCTGTCAACGGTCAGCGACTCCCGGGCCCGGGCGCCATGGCCAATTACCCAAACGGCATGCAGCAACCCCGACACCCCAATTTCTGGCTACAACCCATCACAATGGAGCAGGTTGTGAAGAAGCTCAATGTAAGTGCGACCTAGCTACTCGTGGTACCCCTCTCTAACAGCCTTAGACCGAAATCAAGGCAGCAAAGCAGCAGTCGCAGGACCTCCAGCAGACCCACCACTACATCAATGCTATCCTCTCCGCAGACACCAAGAAGGAAACCACGAAGGCCTCGCCAATCAACCAGGCCAGAATATCGCCGATCAAAGACGGCAGCATCAAGGCGAGATTTTCAGATCCGCCTGCGCCCCCACCACAACAGCCTTTACCCGAAAAGCCCGACGTTGCATCGTCCCTTAGGAGGTCCGACACCGAACGTCCAAAGACAGCGTCACCGGTGCGCTCTGACGCACAGCTGTCTACACTCACAGAGGCCTTGACTAGTGCGAAGAAAGAGATCGAAACGCAGGGCATGCGGCTGCGTGACTTGGAGACCTTGTTGAACGAAGAGCGTCGCGCAAGGGAAGACGCTGAAGAGCGAGCAGCCCGCCTCGAGCGTGAGACAACCAAGGACCAAGGAGACACAGAGACTATCCTTGGCGAAGATGAGACGCCCGAAACCGAGGCAGCCGATACACACCGCGAAGAGCTCACTGATTCAGATAACGGGCCTATATCTCCCGCCAGCGCCGAGGACGCCACTGCTCGCTTACAGCAACGCCTGGAGCTCATGATGTCCGAGATGAATGAGATGAAGCAGCAAATGGAGCGGTACCGGGAAAGAGCCGAGACAGCAGAGGCCGATCGCAAAACCTTGGCAGAGATGATCGAAAACATCAGAGAAGACAATGCAAAGACTGCTGGCAAGGAAGCTCAACGGCGGAGCAGAAGCAACAGTGCATCCGCAAGAGCGAGCAGTAAGACTGGCGTTGAGGGCTCAGACGATGAGGCCGAGCAAGGTGAAATCACCATCATCAAAGAGAAGGACCTCGACGAAGACGGCCCAGAAGTATCACTTCCCAATACGAGGGAACAAAACGGACATTCTGTTGAGCCAAACGGTTCAAAGCAGTCAGGGAAGGCGAATTCCTTGGTTGCCCATCGGCCTGATCGAGCTGCCATGTACTATGGCGGTCCGGTTGGGGCCATGGTAACAGTCGTTGCAATAGGTGTCGCGGTCATGGCCATGCTCAACCAGTATCCCAAGGCCGAACGTTGAAGAGACAAATGCCAAAGTCTTTTATCACTATGCTAGGAAAGACTGGCTTTGTGAGGCGCCACCTCAGCGATCGGGCCCAGGAAGAGCATACTGAGCGTCAACGCTTGAGATGTTCTCCCGCGGAATTCTGGGTTATACGCCGATGCTAGACTACTGTCATTCTCATCAAGGCCATTCGCTGCGTTACACTACGATGCCCACTTATGGATGGCTCGCAGCAACATCATTGTTAGGCTGTTCGCGACGCAATGTTGCACGATGGTAGCACCTCCACGATGTCGTGTCTAATCGCAAATGTTCCGCAACAGAACCACCCACACAACTACCCAAACTATCCATGTCACCGCACTTGTCTCAGATGAGACAACTGCGGCTGGAGAAATACCGTTATACCGAATCACCACAGCAGACTTTCTTTCCTTTCGGCGTAGTTAACGGGTAATGCATCTGTATCTTTCGTTCTACTGGCGTTCAGGACTCACAGTGTCAGCCTCTGACCTCCCAGGCGTTTATCTCTTTCGGAAGGGTGGGAAGCATTGAAGGATTCTTTCGAGGCCAAACAGTCATTCACTGCGGTCAGCGAGCGATGAACCTTTTCTTTTGTAAACACGACTATCTTTTCCTTTGCGTCTCCTTTTTTCACTGGCTTGGGAATTGGGGGATCCGCGATGAATAGGTGGGCAGAGAGATTGGGATTAGGAGAGCAATCGGAGAACACATACACTTCAACGACACAAACATGACTCGCGAACTATGTTGTAAATTGCCTGGGTATCTACTTTACACTAATGAACCAAGACTGTCGTGACGTGTGAGAACTACATTACTAAGCCGATAGTAACAGTGACAGAACTCAAAATGCGTATCCTCGTCTCCGGTACATCATCTGCATCCTCCGCTACTTGGCCCATCTCCGCTTCCCTACCCTCGTCTTCTGCCATCCGATCCCCGGCCTCAACATCATCAATCGCACTCACATTCCCCATCTCAATCTTGACCCAACAATCCTCTTCGCCCTGAAAATGCAATCCTATCTCCAACGCCCTCGGTATCGCCCGCCCTGTCGCTTTAAGATGGACGTTTTCTCGCTTCCCATTTCGAGTCCCACTTCCACCCACACCATCTGCACAGCCCTTAGTCCTACCACGACCATCACTACCCTCCCTACCCATCGCGCCTGCGATCTCAGCCTCCACATCCCTCGGTTCTAACCGTCCATTTGCTTGCGCATATCGTCCCCCGCCTCTCCCTTCTCCTCCTCTTCCCGCCTTATTCAAGGACGCGGCAGATTGCTTCTCGCGCTTGGTTATTTGCGTGAGTAGTTTCCGGATCCGTTTCAGGGCGGGTACGTACGGCGACGTGGCGGTTATGTATAAGGCTTTTGGGGAAGCGGATGAGGAGAAAGGAGTTGGTAAAGGTGCGTGGAGAAGTGGCCGGGTGCTTATTGTTGTGTCTAGGGATTTTGTTAGATTTGGTCCATCTGTGAAACGGGGTCTACGTACTTTTGGGCAGTCTGGCGAGCTTTTGGCGGAGTTGATGGGTTGCGGAGCGAGGCTTGGAAGGTTGCTTTGCTGGCGCAGACTTTGAGGGAGAGTCCTTTGCGTGAGACGCTCGTTTTGGTGGGTTCGTCTGCTTTTCTGTAGCGGTGGCGGACGAGGTGATGTTGCTGGAGGGTGCTTGCGGCTGTCCACATGGTGGTGTCGCATCTGTCATGGCTACATCCTCCGGCTGTTGAGGCTGGTTATGGGGTTTGACTTGTCCGTTGATCG